TGCTACACATGGAAGAAACCCCAAAGTCATCCCTACAACCATTCCATTCGCCGAGATTCGAACCGAGGTTAATCTCTCTATTAAGCGTGTAGTTACAATTTTTCCTTGAAAGAGTTCATTTACTTCTTGTTATTTCTTTCGAAGTAAAATTACATGCAGATAACATACGTACAAAAATAAAACCGATTTGCCCTAGGATGCTATTATTTTAAGCAGATTACAATGTATATGATACTTTACATAAACTGGACGCAATATACAATATAATTAGATGTTAATAGATAATGCATATGTATTAAATGTTTAACAATAATAATGGTGTGAAAATTATGCAAAATATGTGGTATTGATTTTTTTGTTTCACTTAATTAATTCTTGATTTGATTTGGTTCATTGATTAACCCTTTAAGCGACATGGGTTTTGGGATTTGCTCATGAAGACCTGTATTGAAACCGCATTTAATAGCTAAATTTGTATACTTACTTATTTTAGCCTCTGTTATCATAAACTTCTTTTCATTAAAATGATGTTTACATCATTAAAGACAGTAAGAAATCAAAATATTTTAAATTATAAACTAATCTATACCAAGAGACAAAAAATTTCATGACGGGATAAAGGCAATCATGCTACTCATGAAGTTAAAACCAAAGCATGTAAGTGAGATCTGCTTAGAGGAACTAATTCCTTTCTGAGAAGAACAAATTCGTGTTTAAGTTACATGCACATTTATTTTATTTATTAAATTGCGGCAAAGAATAAGGGATACTTTCCTGGAGGAATCTCTGAGGGAAACTGTTTCGTATTCATACTGCAGATGAAGAACATACGAAAACACCTAGATAGCCAACATACTTGCAGGATTTGAACCCAGGTCGAAAACTGCTAGTATTCAGGGGGATCTTATATAATATATCATATACATATATACATTTGCCTAATAAATAATAGTTAGCAAATAAATTACAATTTTATTTCCTGAGAACGTAACTTATTACCGAATGCTACACACCTTTTTTTAACAAAATAGTTTTATTTTAATAAAAATTGTTTATAAATAAAACCTTTATTTTTATTACAGTTATGCTTTCAAAAAAATTTTTTTTTCTTTTTACGTGCTCTAAGCACTACACGGAAAGGGAGGGATGCCCCGTGGAGGTTTATTTAAGGGAAACTGTCTCGTATCCACGTTACACATGGGGAAAATCACGAAAACGGCCATGCAGCCAGCCCGTTCACCGGGACTCGAACACCGGATTGAACTACCAGTGTTTAACGGCTTTAACCGCTCGGCCACTGGTGAGCATAATGTTTATTTGAATATATCATTATTAGCGATATTCTGTGGTATTAGGGATACTTTTTCCGGTGTCTCTGGCATTGGCGAAAATCAGTGCTGTTGCAGCCTTTCATATCTGCTATCAGAGAATTAGCATGAAGGGTTTGTTTTAATTTAACCCTGGGGGTTTTGCTTTAAACTTTTTTTAAAAAATTTCTTTGCTATTAGACAATTCAGTTTATTGTCGCAGAGTAAACAGCAGAAACCTTTGAAAAGAAGAATCATGCCTTACTAGCTCTCTTTACTCAGCAGTCATCATAGAAAATAAAAATGGGGTGCGGACTCTCTTAACCCATCTAGTAATAAGTGCAGCTGTTTCAGGAAAAACCGTAAATGAAATCAACTGTACAGCTCTGAGACAAAATAAATATGAATACAACAAAACAAAAATTCGAAGAATACTTTTGGCTCAACAACAAACTTCTTAACAAAGAATGGATCAAGAAGCTCTCATTGAGATATATTTCATTTTCAGAAAACCTTATTTAATCTCCTAATGCAATCCTGATGAGTTTTTAATACGTTAGGTCTTGCTGAAATAAGCTCTAAGTAAGTGTCGAGTAGTTCTAAGTTTAACTTGTGGACTTTAGAAAGCATGTTATGGCAAAATTGTCCTAATTGCTGTTTAATGGGATTTCTTATAATGAAAACTGCACGGTAAGCTAGAAGTAAATAGAAGCAATGAAATGGGCGGTATTTCCGACAGTTCTGTCTGGGTGTCTATAAGGCAATTCAGTCTGTACATTTCATTAAACATAAATCAAAGTCAATACATTAGTTTGAAAAAAAAAAGCCTAACACTTAGCGCTGTAGCCTAAGGTTTTGCCGCATGGAGCTCATTTAAGCAAAGGGTTCGGGGCGTCTTCACAGCTGTAGCTTCCACAAAGGTACCCGCAGCTTATGCAAGTCGGCCTTTTTTAATACAATTCCTTTTTTAAGGGGATTACTGTTCGTGGAAAAAAATATTGGAACATTATTTGGGGTTTAGCTTTACTTTGCATTATTTTAATTTCTGTTTCAACATCATTTTACAGATTTTCAAAATGTCATAAGTTATCTCTTAAAAGTTTTAATTATAATTTTGCTACAGCTCTGCTTAATGTCATTCTTTTTCAAAGATAAATTTTCCTATTTGGAAAATATTATAGAAAAAAAATCTTTAGACGAATGCCCTTCCCTATGCATATTAAACCACTACGAAAAGTTGAGCCATTATATACTAATTACAAATAATTAAATAAATATATTTAAATGAATTATGTTTGGGTTTTGGATCAATAAATGCATAAATTAAAAATTGTCTGGAATCTCCTTTTATTCCTTGTTACTTCAAGTATTTTCATTTTAAGCTTAAAACAAAAATAATCAAAGCTGAAATATCATATAAGAAGATTTTTTGTATAGGAAAATCTGGCTTAGTTCTAAAGGCCGTAATTAGTGTCCTTACATGGCAGTTGGTTTCTCATTCAAGGCCCAATCTTTAGTAACTCATCTCACTTTGGATGGTAAATTCCCTCACCAGTATACCATCCACTTGAGGCTCACCAGCAGTCAAGCGGTAAAATTACTTAGCACTGGTAGTTCCGACCTGGTTTTGATTCGAACTGCATGGGTCTTTTCCTGGTTTTCTCCATGTGCAACGTGTTTACAAACCAGTTTCCCTTAGAAAGTCTTCCAGGAAAGCATCTCTTCCCATAGGCAGATAGCCCTAGTGTACTTTGCCATAATCAACTAAACCGAAACCCTTCACATGTTTAATTAACCACGTGACCTGGCATATTACTAATTTGCAAACTGTTGCCATTTTATGCAGAATACGAATTTTAATTTATCTTTTAAGACATAAAAGTGCATAGCTTGTACTAAATTGGGCTACTTTTAAAAATAATATACGCACTAGTTACTTTTATTACTAATTAGTCCAAAAGGCGTTAGCTCAGAAGGGCTATTAATTTCGTTTTGTCATTTTGCGTTGAAAATTTTAAATGTCGGTGCACTTTTAAAATTGTTGCCACCAAATTTTATCCCCCTGTGTTATATTTAAATTAATTAAATAATGAAGAATCTGCATAAATGTATGTATGTTTCTCGCATTGTGATAACACAACGGTACCTAGAGACATCCAATTTTGAAAACCTAATCTTCCACCGAATATGTGCATCTGGTAGCTCTAATTTGGAATTTGAAATTTGTTTTATTAACGACTTCATGTTTTGTAACACTTCAACGAATTTTTGATTGACAAAGTCAACGATTTCAAAGCAAGCAATGGCAAAACTGTACGAAAAGAAAAAAGAAAAAAAAATGTTTTTATCTCCAGCGCGCAAGACTATATATCGAAAATTCTAAAGATATGCTAATTTTAAATTTGTTTTGAGATATTGCTGTTGAATTGAATTTTATGCTTTATGTGTAAAGAACATTTAATAAATAAAGGTAACAACAAAAAAAAAAAAAAGGTTTAAAAACGGCCCTTTCGGCGTTATGTGAAATCTGAATGAAATTAGTACAGTTCAAAAATAACATGTGAAGACACATACTATGTAACTCCGCTGCTAACTTTTTTCTCTGATGTTCATTAAGTTATGAAAGCAGGCTTGAAATGATATGCAAATGCCCATAAATTAGTACAAAAAGTTAAATAAAATATTATTCCAGTATCTCTCTATAACAGTTTACTCCACAGATTAAGATTTAATTCAGCACCAAATTACTCAGTATCAAAATTCAATTCCTTAATCATCTGGGCTTATTATGAGAACATTTCCTTTACAACTGGTAAATCGATAAACCCATTCCTTATTTCTAATTACACGAACCTGTTTCACGTTTTGGTTTGGTTATCTGAATGTTGCAAAGCACAAAAAGACTGTTTGCCTAACGGGTGGAATGCCTTCGTGAAGGGTCTTCTAAGGAAAACTGGAAAACATTGGAGAAAACCCACGAAAACCAATCATGCAGCTTGTCCATTACCGAGGTTTCACCCAAAGAAAACCTACCGTACCAGTATTCAGCGGTGTTAACCACTCTGTCACTAATGGCTTCAATCTGAAAGACCTGCCATCATAATTTAATGCTTTTTTCCCCTCTGCGTTTTAAAATACTGTATAAATTTTCAAAGAGAATTTTAATGAAATCGTATCATAGCCAGGATAATATATAATGTTAAAAGCTGAAATGCAAAAAAAGAAGATAACAACTGCCATTAAAATTTGTTTTTCCGAGGATGGAGCACGTAACTGAACAGGTTTTAAAGAATAGAGGATGAAACATCATAAAAGTTCCTTACTTTACAATTATCCGAGCGAGTGCAGAAAAAAAGATAATTTGGGAATGAACGCCAAGAAATACTTCTTGTTCAGACTAAACTGGGGATAAAACTGTGAGGAATGATTTGGAAAAGGGTTAAATCGGAGCAGCACCCATATCTACAGGGCCCTCACAATGTCTGAATTTCGTAATTTTAACTGAAAGGTGCTATATGAAGATAACGTCCACTGTTTTATAAGCCTTACTTTATTTGATTTATTTCTTAAACCTAATCAACTACAAACCGTTCAAGAAATAGCCTTGCAGCATTTTCTGAAAAGACACGGTGTATCACTAACAATTAAATATCATACTCATCTGCTATTCATATGACAAAAATTCAGACTTACCGGTCTCCTTCTTTGAAGAGAAAATGGTCGTCAATAAGCTGCTGTTGCGTTGCCTTATCCATTCCAGTTAGAGGATAATATGTACCCTTAAGTTCTCCAGTCATACCTGAGAGTGTACTGCTTACTTTCTCTTCCATTTCCTTGTATTGCTGAAAATACACAATTAAACAATGTTTATAGTTTTCTATTTAAAATAATGCACTCATTAATTACATATGTTAATACTTATTAAGAAAAGATAGAATGCATTCGTGGGGCAAAAAACAAACTTCCATTATTTTAAAAGATATAAATTTTTAATTTATCCCTATTTTTATACTTTTAAACATTTTTATTTAGTAATCTGTCGAGTTACAAATTTTCTCTAGAAATATGAACTATTATGGGTTGTTTGAAGAAAACATCGTTAAGCATTGAATATTTAAATAATTTTAGGTAATATTTTATGTTAAATACCGTATCTACAGGAGTAAACATTACTCAGCTGAGCCTGTTTTTAGGTAATATTTTGTGCTAAATACAATATTTACCGGAGTAATCATTTTAGTTATTACTCAATTGAGCCTGTTGAGCGAGAGCACTGAAAATATTAAATCTTTTAAAAAGTGGATCAACTATGCAAGAAGGACCATTTGAAAGTGTTGGCGATGCATTGTATACAGTTTTATTAGATGCTGTTACTGCTGAATTATCTATTTTTATCTATTTATTTCCCATTGGCGGGCACTTGGTCGACTTAGACTTGGACACTACTAAGGGCGGAAGTGCTGGTAAATTTATTGTGGAAGCTCCTAATAGGAAAGCCACCGTCACCTCCTATGAAGGGACTGACAATTTCAGCCATGACTTCTCCGGGATTCGAACTGGGGCCGTGCAGTATCGCAGTAGGTTCCCCTAAACACTATACCGTCTGGGCGGCAGCTGCTGGATCATCTAAAAATATATTATTTTCTTTCAAGAGATTACTTTTCGGACCAAAAGTGGAAACCGATTAGGTAAAGAAAAAAAAAAAAAAAAAAGCAAGAGAAGCTTCTTACACTTGTGACGTCTTCTCAAATGCTTCAACAAAAAGGAAGCATATATTGGAAGTATTAAAGCTTCGTGGGGAAAAAGGGGATGAAAAACAGAAAAGGAGAAGAGAATCAAAGCCACAAGTTTTCGGCCGAGTATTCCTTCCTTCTTCGTTGGAGCTTTGAACTTCAGAATGGACGATTAAATTCATTTGAGGATAAAACTGATGATACAAGGGGAACTACTCGGGAAATACTTCAAATGTAGAAGGTACAATTTGAATTTTTACCAAGTAGAGTCACTAGATTTATTTCGGAGCATGAAACATGAAAAATCAGCGATGCCCTCGTCGGGATTCGGACACCGGACCTGCCGGCTGCTAGCCGGACGTACTTTTCAAATACACCACAAAGGTATGCGACAAGGAAGGAAAAAATGCCTTATATTCTCCCCTACTTTAAAGGGCGTTGCCAGATTCTCGTGGTGACGAATTATCGTCATCACATTTTGAAATTCGGACGCCTCTTATAGAGTATAGAACTTTTACAGCAGGAAACGTGAGAAAGCAAGTCGCCCTCGCCGTGATTCGAACTCCGGGATCTTCCGAAAGCAAGCTGAACGTACTTTACAATTACAACACGTAGATACACAGTGAGTAAGGAAAATATTTCTTATAATCACTCTTAAAAGAGAAAAAGTAATACACAAAAATATATTGCTGGAATTTAAAGAAGGAAAAAGAAACAATATAAAGTGTGATTTAAAAAAAAATGGCTTTTGTTATGGAAAGTGGTATTTTTCTTATAATTAATTATTCCAAGAATTTTTACAGTGACATTGCAAAAGCAACTTGGAATAATAATAAAAAAAGAAACTGCTAACGCGCATTTTTTATAAAAAAAAAGGTTGGGGGGATAAAAGAAAAATTAATAGAATAAGATTTCAGCCGACAGAATTTAAAAAAAAAAAAAAAAAAGGATCAGCCCATTTAGCATTTTATTTTTCTGCATATGTTTTAGGAATTATATTAATGACGATATATATGGCAAAATATAATTTACTTCTTCAAATCTCATATATTTGAATGGCCCACCTCAGTTGGTCCCATTATAGTTATTTCAGGTATATAGTATATCCACTATTGGAACATAAAGAATTTAAAAGATTTAATTTTTTTATCTACCTTTGAGCTTTTTGTTTGCGATATGATAGGAGATTTATAAAGAGGATTTATACAATGACAAAAAATATATGCTTATGTCAGAATTCTCCACAGTTTTTATGATAATTGACTGCACGTTCTTACGTGGTCCACTACTAAACATATACTCCACAAGGTTATACCTTAGTAGAGCGAAGCGTTATTATGTCAGAGATATTGTTTGTTTGCTAATGAAGACATTTTATATAGTATTTTCGTGTTTGAAACAGCAAAAATAATGAATAATCACATTTTAGTTACAGCAAGTTTTTTTTTTTTTTTTTTTTTTTATTTTTTTTTTTTAAGTTTATTATGGAAATATGCCGTATTCAACGTGAAATGTCATTTTTCTTTTCCCGAATCAGATGCGATTCTATTGTTGAAGTTTTCCGTTAACTGTTTTCTAGTAACTTACCATTGTTGAAGTTTTTTATTACTATTATTACTGTGGAAGCATTTTTACGACTACTCCTATCGTTGAAGTTTGTGAATTCTACTGCTGACGTTTCATTTTCAGGAGGAAGGAGATAAATTCCTAATCTAAATTCAGAAAGTCTGCATTCCGAATACGCATGCAAGCAATCATTATACTAAATAAAACACGAATTCCATTTCACAAAATAACTGTCGAATCAATTTTGCTTGAAATAATGAAAGCTATGAATAAAAGTGCGCATGTGTATTAACTACGTATACCGTGAATATATTTAACGTTTTCAAGTGTTTTAAATCGATTTTCGATATGGGTAACACATACATGAACATATAAAGTCATGAAAATTTTTTTGAGTTTGAAAACCATTATTTCTTATCTTTTTTTTTTTTTCCTATGACTGTAAAGTTACTTTACGTTATAGTCTAATCTATAAAATGAAATTTCTATACTCTCCTTTAAAACGGTTTCAATCAGTTAACTTAAAAGTTTCTTTAACCTTGAATATTCAATATATCTGAAAAAAAAGAGTGCATATCTTTCTGCTTATCCAGAAACGCATAATGACTCTTTTTAAGAAATTAACCCTGAATTTAACCTAGTGCAGGCTAGAATTTATAGAGCTAGCCTGGCACTGGGATACATTCCGAAGAAGACTGGGAGGCAAAAATGACTATGATCAGGCTAAACCCTTCATACCTACCAATCTTACTTCATTTTTTCTTAAAGTTATGGAGAAACTTATTGATAGGCATATTAGAGAATACCTGGGTAATTACAATCCCTTGTATAACCTACAATTTGCCTATCAATCTGGTAAATCTACAGAAACAGCATTACATCAGCTTGTTTCTAAGATTAAAGACACTCTGGGTAGAAAGGAAATTGTCTTGGCCATCTTTCTTGACATATAGGGTGCCTTTCATAATACTCCACATCTGTCCATCCCTAAAGTTTAAGGGACACGGGGATTAACCATATTTTATATATATGGATTGAGACCCTCTTTTTGGATAGATTTATTCAAATGAATATCTTTGATGAAGCACTTTAGAAAAAGATTACCAGAGGCTGTCCACAAGGAGGTGTTCTATCACCTTTACTTTGGAACGTACTAGTAAATAGACTCATCAAACACCTAAATGACATAGGATACTACACACAAGGCTATGCAGATGACATTGTTATACACATCCTTGATAAAGATTTTAACATTACTTGTCAACTTATACAAAACGCATTCAGTTATGTAAGTAAATGGTGCATAGAGAGGGATCTTAAAGTGAGTCCACAGAAAACCAGTCGTGTGCCATTCACATGTAAAAGAAAATGGGATGTTTCTTTTTTTTTTTTTTTTTATTTATTCCAGAACTATTTGACGTCCAGATCAACATGACCTCTGAGGTGAAGTATTTAGAATTATACCTTAACCAAAAGCTCACCTAGAATAAACATGTAGATTATAAAATTAATCAAGCGAAGAAATGCATCATGACGTGCAGACGTATGTTTGGTAAAAACTGGGGTTTTACAACCAAAAATGATGTCTTGGATGTATACTGCAATTATAAGATCTATTATTACTTATGCCTCTGTAATCTGGTGGTGCAAGGTGGAGCAGAAAATTGTGAGGACAGTCTAGGAAGACTGCAAATATTGGCCTGCCCATGTATCACAGACGCAATGCCCTCAGTACCTAACAGAGTATTGGAGATTATATTAGATCCGACTCCCTTGCACATCTTCATTTGCAGTATTGCTAGAATGACTGCGTATAGAAATGGTGCTGCAAAATCAGTGGTATGACAAGCCTACTGCTAAAAGTCATATCAGTATTACTAAGAAAATTCATGATTCTACTCTCCTGATTACTTCAGACATCATGGGAATAACTTACGTGTTTGATATGCCATTCGAGGTAGTTTTTTCTGCTAGGGATGAATGGAATAACATGGCCAATTTAAAAACCGATGATCTAATTTGGTTCACAGATGGATCAAAGAAAGGCAGCCTCTCTAGACTGGGAGTACATGATGTATTACCCAGAATTAATTTCTTTTCCACTGTTTTCCAAGCAGAAGTTTTCGCTATTACTAACTGTCTACAAATAAATATTAAAAAATAAATAAACAAAAAAGAACTCGTGGCAACCATTTTCCCGGCTTTTTCTACCAATTCAGTACTCGCAGAATATGCAATATTGGATAAAGCTGGTTTTCACAAATAGCCACATCTTACTGCCAACAGACTGAAGGCGACTCTCGGGGCATCCAGGAGTCTCTTGGGTGTCTCCTCCGTTGAAGGGTGGGGAGTTTAGAAGTGATTTGAGAGAAAGAATATTGCCCACTTGCATTCATCCTCTCCGCTTTGACAGCTGTATCTGGTATCGTTTTATTTCATGGAGGTAAGAATAAATAATCATGGAGGTAAGAAATTACGTTTTACCTACAGGTTTTACATCGAAGGGAAGTATATGTTCTTGCGATGTGTGAGAAAATAAATGG